GCTATAGTACACGAGCAGAGAGTCCCAAATATGGTAACATACTACATAAGCGACTACAGCTAAGCGCTAGGAGACGCATAGCCTCGTGTAGTCCGGACCGGATAAGTCCAAGTTCAACACTCCCACTCAATCCGTACCTACGGAAGAGCGTTCAGTGTCGAAGACCAACACCTTCACAGAACTTCTTGACGATTGTCAGAGGAACGTTCTTTGTGAGAGCATCAGCCAGCATGTCAGCCGTAGCGACGTAGAAGATGTCCACTTGTCCAGCTTCGTAGAATTCGCGAACGAAGTGATACCAGATCTCCACGTGCTTTGTCCGACGTTCGACTACCGGATTGACAGAGAGGAAGATCGACCCTTGATTATCTACACAGAGAGGGGTTGGCTCGCTCATGTCGTATCCGAGTTCGTCAAAGAACGTCCTCAGCCACGCCATCTGTCTGCAGGTGTCAGAGGCCGCTTTATATTCCGCCTCAGTTGAGGAGAGCGAAATGGTAGGCTGACGCCTTGATGCCCATGATATGGCACCACCGGCTAACAAGAAGATCGTGCCCGAGGTAGAGTGCCGGTCGTCTCGATCTTCAGCCCAGTCAGAGTCCGAGTACGCAATTAAGCCATCGTTAGAAGCGCCGTTGTAGCGAATCCTGTAGGTGCGAGTGCCTTGCAGGTAGCGTAAGATGTATTTGGCATACTTCATGTGGTCGGGCGAGGGATTGGCACTGTATCGGGAGAGACGAGTGACGGCAAAGGCGATATCTGGTCTTGTACCGAGCATGGCGTACATAAGACTACCAATGAGGCTCTGGTAACACGATCGTTCAGCGTCTGAGGCGAGTCCGTCGTACTTGACGAGAGCAGCACCCGCAGGAAGAGGGGTATTGGCAGGTTTACAGTCAGCCATCTCGAAACGCTCTAAGACAGACTGGACATAGTCTTCCTGGTCAATGTCGACAATGCGCGAAGCACGATCACGACGAATGCGAAGACCAAGGAAGCGCTGTACTGCGCCTAAGTCCGTCATTTTGTACTGGCGTCCGAGCATCCGTTTGACTTGCTTGATGTGATTCTTGTTATCGCCGAAGAGGAGTAGATCGTCGACATAAAGAACCACAATGGTGACTGAATTCCCCCCATGTCGCCGATATACGTATACGCCGGCATCGGAATACGTCCGTGTAAACTCCAGATCAAGAAGGGATTGATGGATCTTCGCATTCCATTGACGCGAAGCCTGCTTAAGACCATAGATAGCCTTCTTGAGCAAGCAAACGTGATCCTCTTTTCCCTTGACGACCCAACCTTCCGGTTGTTCCATATAGATCTCTTCCTCAAGATCACCGTTCAGGAATGCGGTTTTGACGTCCATAGACTCCATCTCCCAGTCCTCAAGCGCAGCGTGCGCAATGAGATACCGGATAGATTCGTACCGCGCAACGGGAGAGAACGTCTCATGATAGTTCTCACCCCAAACCTGGGTGAAACCCCGTGCAACCAACCGTGACCTTAAACCGACCATCGTGCTTCTCGTCGTAGACCCATCTACAAGAGACG